TACTGTCAGTGATCTGAACAGCAGTGCATTCTTCTTCAGAGCCGCCAGTGACAGCCACCAGCAGACGGCCCGCACGGCATCTGACCGGGCCCCACTGTGACCCGGGCCCTATAGCGGCCGCCTGGGTAGCTATGGTGATTGTTACGCCACTATCCACAAGATAGCTTCATAAGCTAAACTAAACAGGCATCCAGCTAAGACCCAATGAGGGGCATTCATCAAAACTGGAGCAGACAAAATCTGGAGCAGCTGTGCATGGCAACCAATCAGCTTCTCTCTTTCATTTTCAACTCTTAACAGAACAAACTGGATACTATTGGCAACTGCTCCAAATTTTGTCTGCTCCAGTTTTAATACATTTCCCTCACTGTGTGTTCAAGGCACAGAAACCACTCGATAGTGCAGAGGATCACTCACAAAATCTATTTAAAATGATATTGACAAAATGTTTAGTTCCAAACAATGTCTTCAGGGGCTATGGAGCAAACGCTAAATGCATCAATAAATATACTACTTACACTCCGCCCCGAGACCTGGGACTGAGCATAAAACATTAACTCACATTATGAATGTATCATTATAAGGCTTCTTTAACACTATGTGCCATTAGATGCCTTTATATGCATCCAAAAAGCTTATCTAAAAGCATACACATGCATCCAATACATTCCAATGGGCATATTCTCACCTTACATCTGTCCATCTACTAGCTTGAAGAAGGGAGAGTGCCGTGGAGTGTCTTGTCTCGCTGTGTTCGTGTGTTTGTGGAGACACACACAGCTTATTAGCACACACACAAGGGTGGCTTCCTAGGACCCTGCAAGGAAAAGGAGCCACCCTAAAACAGGATTTTAGGACCGGTTCTAAGGAGACCAGCTGATTCTACAGGAAGCTAAAACTTTTAAACATCCATTGTAAGTGATTTCATCAGTATTTTAAATAGCTTAAAAACCTTTTGACTTGATTATATTATATGCACTTCTATGCTAAAATTCAAAATATTTTTTTTTTTTTTAAAAACTAAAACATTTTGACTTGAATATCACTTTAGCATAAACAGAACAACCAAGATACATCTATGCAGAAAGGAATGCAGGATTTAATGGCAAGGAAGGATTTCGTTGTTCGTCCTGGTAAATAGGGGGGCGGGTCAGTCCTTTTTAAAAAGTCTGATTATTTGTAAGAGATGTCTAATATCTTATCTGACACAAAGACATACTCTTCTTAAAAGTAATCCCACTGTACACTATAGAAGAGAACTAAAGGGTTGGCTAGAAAAAGGATATCACACGGGTGTTTTCAGTTAAAGGGAGAAGTGGTTCTTATTACCTTCAGCCCCAGAGGTACCAATTATTTATTATTTTCCAAAGATTTATAGAAATCTGGACAATCCTCCGGGTCATCCTTTCATTAGTGGGATTGATTCCATGACTCCAAGAGCGGGTCACTGTATTGATTTCTTTTTTCAGCCTTTAGTTATAAAATTGCCATCTTATCTTAAAGATAGAAAAGTGATTATTAGTTTGAAAAGATATAATGGAATAAGGGATATATATATAACATCTGTAACATCTTTATATACCAGTAGTCAGTATTAGAGCAGAGTATGTGAACTTTCTTAGCCACATTGTTATTGAGAAACGTATGGGTCTGGACTAGAGATTTTACTTCATTTTGTTTATAACATTTTGAAGCAAATCAAATCTTAACCTTTGCAGTGTGGCTACCCCCTTGCACTGCGAGGGTTAGGTGCTCATTTTATCTAGGTTGCTAAAATAACACAGTGATGGAATGTCCCTCGGCTTCCTCACGTTCTATACACTGTATATAGAACGTGATGACTCACAGGACATTAGACCGATGGAGGGGAGCAAGGCAGAGGGGACCGGTCTAAGAGCAAGCCGGCATAGCAGTTCTGGTGAGTATAATTTTGTTATTTAAGCTCCCTATACAAAACAAGCATTTAACCTTTGTAGTGCAGGAGTAGCCCCACTGCAAAGGTTAAGATTTTATTTGCTCGGGGTTTATCCTTAAAGGAGAACTATGGGGTAAGTGTTTTTCCCCATAGTTCTCCTAAGGGTCACGGGAGGGTCACGCGAGCTACAGCTGAGACCGCCACAGCCGGGACCGATCCCGACATTTCTATCGAGATCCACCCAGCTGCGTGAGTGACAGCTGGCTCTACCTATCTAGAGGCAGAGCCAGCTGTGCCCGCCCCTCCTCAGTGCGTTACTCCAGTCAGCGCTGGAGGATCGGAGCGGGGTGGGGGGATCCCTGCAGGGAGCCTTGACTGACAGTCACGGCTCTTTGCAGGGAGATGATCGAGAAGTGAGCGAGCGACTCACTTCCCGATCTATTGAGGCGACGTGTGACAGTTTCATTGTCACAGGTCGGCTCGGACTACGAGGTTGAGTGAAAATCACTCACCTCATAGTTCTCCTTTAAATACATTTTGTGAGTGATCCTCTGCACTTTTGAGTGATTTCTCTTCCTTCCTTTACATGTTTTCTGGATGTTGGGAGTTTGGAACGTACAGGGTGTGTTAGCTGGACGCTGACTTAGTTCAGCTTATGAAGCTATCTTTATTGCAACCAGCTGGGATTTGACAAACTTCCGGGAGGAAGCTATTGATCCATAGTGTATAGTGTATAAGGAGAGAGCCATTGTAAGTGGGATGCTCTTATCTGTTGTGGGCAGCGAGCTTTGGAGATAAGAAGGAACTACGGTTCAGGAGTGTATCCACCGTTGTGGCTGGGAAACCCAGATGTATTGTAGATTAAAGCGGACCTTTACCCATACCTTCAAAATAACAACAAACACACCTTTAGAGATGTTTAGAAATGGCAATCTACAAATAGATACTTCTAGATAATTGTAGGATTTTTATTTTTTGCATACGTTAGTTTTTCTTTTCCTCCCCATTCTTCTCACAGTGGCTATTTTTACTAAGGGAAGATTAATATATCTCCCTTTACTTCCTGGAACTCTGGCACATGTGACTAGGACATGTGACCATGCACATCATCTCAGGGGAGGAAAATGCCTTTCCCTGAGATCTCATGAGATTACAGATGAGATTCCCCAGCAATGCTCTGCTGATGTAACCTTCCCAAGATGCAATGTTTGGGCACATTACATAATTTGTGCCAAAGAGGACGAGGAAGTAGAAAAAAAGAAATCGTAAGTAAAATACAAATATATTTATTTAACAAATAATTGTAAGATGATTTCATATTAACATATATAGTTGCACGCTGAGGTGGTTTTTAGTAAATTGGGGTAAAGGTCTGCTTTAACATCAATCGAGACCTGATATGTGAGGTCAGTGGATCTGGTGGATGATTTGAGCTCACCACACATGTCACAATCAGATTGTACAATCTCCTTTAGATCTACCAATGACTATATAGTGCCGGATTGTATACAAGTTGATTCAATAGATTGGGTTGGTCCTCATATTACGAGTTTTGGTAATCTAAAGAAGATTGTATGGAGATCATACAATGAGATTGTATAATGCATGGCCAGCTTTAGTTATCTCCAGAGACTGGATCGAATGAGGATTGGTGGTTATATTTTAGGAACAGAGGACACTGCTATCATTTTAAGCGCTGCATTTCTTATTACTATGAACCACGTGCTTCTGAATACTAAAAAATTGAGAAAGTTAAATGAACAAATGTCATGTAAATAATACAAGAAGCATTTACATTTTTCTCTGCTGCAAGACAGCTCTATAATGAGTAGTGGATGTAGCTGCATCTTACAGTGATGAATACTTTCATATCTGATCAATTCAATGATCCTTCAGTCAGACACCTGTGTCCCTATGGAGATCTCCCATGCTGATTGTTCTTAATGACATTTACTATGCACAAATGTATTGACATTGGCTAAAGGAATACGTCTTGGACATCTATCTCTCTTTTCATTTAAATAGAGGATTTATAAAGTACATTTCCTTTCCTGTAGTCCAAATGAGGGCCAATCATCAGAATTAGGAGTGTGTAGGAGTACTTGCTGCACTACTGCATGGATGATGGTCTACAGATCTCAAATAGAGCCAACTTCCCTCTGCATCAGCACCACTGGGTCTTAGCTGATAACATGTGAATGTGAAGTAATGAGTATAAAGATCATTGTAGTGCATGGCAAGTCCTAACTAAGGAACTAGTGAATAGATTTATGTTTCTGGCATCGTGCAATGGGATGTGTTGGAATTCTGCAGTGTCACATCACTGTACTGTGGCTGGAGTGTATTGTAGGGAAAAAGCTGACAGGGTTCCTCATCTGACAATGGGCAGATGATCCCCTGCTTCTTATCACCTCGTCCGGATGGCTTCTGCTGTTTAACCCTTTCACTGCTCATGGCTTGGCTCAGCTGCATCGTAACACATGCTCCTATGGAATGAGGGCTTGTGTTAACTTCTAAGTACCAAGGGATGGATCAGTGTGATAATCCAGCATGTCAGTGCTAGTGGAAGTTGTTCTGTGTATCATGAATCGAGGCTTGCTACAAATGTACGATGTGCTGCTAGGATATACAGCATGCTCTGTGTTCTTAAAGGAGCCTTCCCCCATGTGATTGCTGTCAGAGCAGCTGCAAGCTGGAGCAGAGCGCAGTCTCTGTGCATTGGGAGCTGTCACTTCTGTAAACTAGACGGAGATTTCTTGTTCTCAGCGATCTCGATGTGATCGTGTCTTTCCCCAACACACAGACATTGCCCGATCATCATTTGGTGCTGGGACTTATCATTGAACAGTGCTTGCGATGATCATCAAGGCAGCAAAGGGACAATTACCTGTATGGGGAATCATGAAGGTGTCTACTGACTGAAGGAACTTATTTTGGAGCTTTAAACCCCCCAGATGTACTGCAACACAGCACTGCCCTGACTTCTCAACAGCCACTGGGCATCCCAAGGACATCCACCTGCCCTGAACTCTAATCCTGTCACTTGTACTCATTAATCTCCAGTTCCCGAAGCCTGACCAGCTCCCAGTATAAGAAGATCCGTGCTCCATGAGCCTCTGAACACACAAGTGAGTCCAGAAGAAGCCATGCAAGTCTCCATAGCCTGCACTGAGCACAACTTGAAGGGTCGGAATGGAGATGACAGGCACAGCAAACAGAACTCTAGTGGCCCCAATGTGGTCAATGCAGCCCGGGCCAGGTTCCGTACTGTGGCCATCATTGCACGGAGTCTGGGGACATTCACTCCTCAGCATCACATCTCTCTAAAGGAATCCACAGCTAAGCAAACTGGCATGAAATATAGGTATGGACTGCTACTGTAACCTTTATGTATGGAAAGATATGTGTATAGATGTACACTCTTATAACTGAACCTGTTTTAACAAACATGTACATATATGTGTATACTGGCACATTATATACTACATGTATTGGGTAGATGTCTGTTTAGAGAATTTAAGAATGCACACTCCTGAATATCTGAATTTTAGTAAACCTAGTAGTAGTCACAGTCAGCTTGACTCAGTCTGTAATGATGAAGAGGTTTTGCCATTCATCCAAGTAGCTTTCTTTGATCTAATGAGTGCCAGGAGCATATCCCAGCTTTCACAGCCACATGGATAACCCAGCCACCATAAAGTCTGAGAACTTGTCCTGAATATTTAAAGTGACACTAAATTCCAGAGTTAAATCTAAAAAATGCATTCAAGTACCTTAACTATTAATAAAAATTTATCTTATTTGTGTATCACTCGGCTGTAGATCCTTAAAACCATCCCTGAATTCATGCTGACACTGTCCTTCCTTCTGTAGGGTGGCTACTTTTGTTTCCCCATTTTCCCTGTGTGTGTTGTAAAGTAGCTACCGCCCCAAGCTCACTTCCGTGATGGACTACAATGTAACGTTTAGTTTCATGATTTGTGTTGAGATTGTAGTCTATCACAGGAGTGAGCTTGGAGCTGTGGCTACTTTACAACACACACCGAGACCATGGGGAACAAAAGTAGCGACCCTCCAATAGGAAGGACAGTGTCAGCACCAATTCAGAGATTATTTGAGGATCTACAGCTGAGTGATACAGAAAAAATATAATATTTTTTTATTGTTAAGGTATGTGAATGCATTTTTAAGATTTAACTCCTGAGTTTAGTATCACTTTCATCTAAAACCATAGGATGCGCCAAAGCCAGAAGTGGATTGTCCAAAAAGATGATGGGGGGTGTGAAACCATCCTAATTATATAACCCATTCACCATGCCAAGAGTCAGGGACAGGTGAATGTTCCAGTGTCCCTATGTCTTGTAGCACTCCTTATCGGATATCCCCAAAAAAACGGGTGCTCGTTATGGCTGCGGGTGGCGCCGCTCACAATAAAACTTGAATCAAGGTGAATGTTCCAGGTACCTAGCAAAAGGTGTGAATTGTTTTCAAATCTAAGTTAAAAAAAAGACTGTATCCATATCCAAAGTTAGTTCAGATTTGGAGCTTATCAAAACTTTGCTTTTTATCTAAGATTATAAAGCACTGATCAAACCAGCAAAGTGCTCATAAAGCCGTGAAATGTGTATTTGAAAACCGACTTACAATTACCCACTTGATAACAATTTTACTTGTCATTATTACATCCTTTCATTATTGTTGTTTATATTGTAGCATTGTAGGTGTATGAATAGTTAGCAGGGATCCAATCACTTTTAATATTATACACTAATATAAGTTTAGAGCTTCTTTTGCTCCAGCTATTCCTCTGACTCTCATTTACATGGATAGAAAACAATTTTTACATTTTCCTATTAGAGGAAACTGCCTCTGGGGATTGCAGGTGGTTCATAGTAACTAGATAAGTATCATCTCTTTCGGAGAGGGCTTGATTGTCGGGTGTGAATAAATATAACGATGAAGATAAGGAGTTTAAAGTGAGTTTTATTGCAGCTTGGTGGAGTTAAGGATTCCAAGACATCTACAAATGACTGCATGCTGTTTGTAAATGTATTCCTCACTGTGCCTCTTTTCAGAGCAGATTGTTGAGCTCCTGAAAAGCTCAGGATTTGTTTGAGAGGAAATGTTTGGGGGGATGTGGAGCTGAATGGTCGTAAAGATGATGGATAATAATTGAAAGAAACAAAATGAAGTTACAGGGTTGGAAATAAATCAGAGTGTATAGCTAATGATTACTGGAAGGTGAATCCCATAAATAAGGTTCCTACTTGCATACCTACTGTACTAGATTTATCATGCACAGCTCAGTGGAGCAGAAAGTGATCGTGCATTAATGCCAGTGATCTGGAGGAAAGTGAGTAATATACTGTAACTGCTGCAATGCACACTCATTGCTAAGCTTCCTCACTTACGAAGTGGAAGGGAATAGCGATTGTATCGTGGTGAACACACAGAGATGAATATTCATAGGTCCTCCTGATTGCTACATAATTCACACACCCCCATAATTGCCACATAAAGCCAATAAGCCAGTAGTGATTATTATAAGTTATGCATAATGTGACAACCAGTTATACAATGAAGCATGAGAATAAAACATCCATTTAAAAGACAAATTATGGTATATATGGAGTTACGGAGGCATACGTGAATCTAGCGTTAAATTAGGATGGTTTTAGGTATTTAAACACAGGGCTGATGTGAGGTATTGTTTGTGAATTGATCTTACTTAGTTTGTCCAGTTTAATTAAAAAAGAAAAAAACCTATTCACTACAGTTTAGACTCATTCTGTTCTTAGTGCCCACCACTGTGCCGAAGCTGCAGACAAGTGTTTGTAGCATACAATAGTCAGTCAAATCTGGCACCAGCATGCAGTAGTAAAGTGACAGGAAACAAGTGCATCCACTCACAACAGACCTGGGAAAACTTTGGAATTAGGGTAGTTAATCAGGCACATTGACTATGTTACATAGTTACATAGTATTTAAGGTTGAATAAAGACACAAGTCCATCAAGTTCAACCTTTGTGTGTCTGTATGTGATTGTGCATGTGTGTGTGTACACAAGTCCCTGTATGGTCTAGTTTTTAAGAGTACCTGTACCCCTGTATGTTACGGTCTCTTAGGAAGGTATCTAAATGCTTTTTGAATGATTCAATACTCTCTGCTGATACCACTGCTTGTGGCAGCGAGTTCCAGATTTTAACCGCTCTAACTGAAAGAAAGCCTCAACGCCCCTTGTGGTTACATCTTTTCTCCACCAATTTTAGGTGGTGGCCTCTAGTCTTTGTTAGGGAGTTTCCCGTAAACAGTTTATTGCTGATGTTGCCATCACCACTAATTATTTTGTACATCAAAATCATGTCCCCTCTTAATCTCCTCACTTCCAGCGTGAAGCTATGTGACCCCTAAAATGTAGCCAGACATCTTACCAAAACATAAACTGTTAGGTCATCAGACTTTGGTTAGAAACACAACACTGGGCTTGTATGCTGATATCGGGCTGATATCAGAGACCTTTTTTTTCACTCTTAAGCTAGACAAACATGCACAGATTTCTCAATCCACGCTAAACAGTATGGATGTAGGAAACTCCACCTGCCGTCTATTGTATGCTTACAGCCAGAACACGCTCCTGTCTGAATACCCAAACAGTGATTGTATCTTATTTCACCCAGCTCCTTCAATTTTTGAATCAAAGTTTGTCAATCTGGGTGGTGCCCAACACAGCTTGAACTCCTGCGGAATCTCCCTACATTCGTGCTGTGTACCTTGGTGATTCAGGAAAGATTTTGTCCATTGGTAAGCTCAGCATATCTTAGTTTACTTTTAGGGGGCAGTTCACCAAAGGATTACAGAACCATAAAACTGTTCACTTTAAACATCCAATCAGATTAATGAC